GTCAAACACATGGTACCGGGTGGGATGCAGCATGTCACGTTTCAGGTTAGTACTCTGTGCTGGAACCAAAGACCTCCAGAGTCCAAAACCAGTTGTTACCAACCCGAGTTCAGCCTATCAGCGTCCAGTTCTCTGTCCCACCATCGTGGCCTTCAGACTGGACCACCCACAGATGATACGGGGAAGGGAATGGGGATTCAAGCCTTTGTTTCACGTGTCATCCAGAGAGTTTGACAACTGCTGAGCCAAGGTCAGCAGCTGCAGGGATCCAAAAGTTAAACATAATTGTTTCGGGGCAAACAGCCTTGATTTTCTTGTTGCTTTAAAGTCTTTAACTGCATGTCTGTGATGGTGAAAAAAAGCTGAATGTTTTAAATATCATCACATCCTCGCCTCTCTTCCGTCTGAAACTTCACCCAGGTGTAATCCTACATCTCATTGGCATGCTACATCTCATGGGCATGCTGCTGAACTGTGATTCTCATCAGAATTACATCCAGTTTGTGACTTATATCCTCCAACATCAGAGTCTGTGTGTTTCCAGTATGGGAGACTCCATCCAAGGCTCCTGACAGCTTCTCACAGGCCTGGACTGCTGTCAGGATCGCTTTCATTTTCTGATGCGTCAGGACTCCTCCACAGCCGATCAGCAGGAATCCAGTTATCATAAATCCAAATATGTACAGATCTTCCACGTCTTCAATGGAAAGCGATGCCAAACAGATGAGGTTCCAGCCCCAAGAACCACTGACCCGACTGGCCACCACCATTCCACTGGGACAGCTGTGCTCCCCTCGCTCCAATCTCAGTGTGAAAAAATAGTGTCGATTGCGTTCAGATACCAGTTGACCAAATCCACAATTCCTTTTGTTTTTGGATGATAGTTAGAAGGAAAGCTTGGAAAAGCTACAAAGCAGGAAGGAGGGACAGGTTCGGGAGACAGAGCAAAAGCATCCGACTCTTCTGAAGGCCAAGCAGGAAAAGTCCAAAGAATGAGGTGAAATACACTTCCTCACCACTAGTAGCAGTAGTGCACCACTCAGATGTTTTACAACTTTTATAATATGTGGAAGAACCTTAAATGAAAAGTAGAAGCAAAAATGAAGGAAACCCATCAAAAAAGACCAAAGTTTGTCACTAATATGAGGTGCAGCTTCTGGTTCTACCATGCAAGAGTTTAAAGACTTTATTTTCTTAATCAAATTTATTTTTAAAGGTTTTTTATTTGAAACATTTTGAATGTATTTATTTTATGACCACAATTTTATTTGTTGAATTGTCTATTTGTGTTATTGTTTAAAAATATATATTTTTGTGTTGATAAGCCTGACTGTTAGGGGCAGGATACAATTTAAAGAAATGTTTGTCATAATCATGTCCTGTGATTATTTGACTGTTTTACTTTTAAACTAAGTGTATTTAAATTAGTTATAATGCAAAATAATACAAATTAAACCAAGTTTTATAATAATTATCATGCTGATCCACACATTAGTAATATCTGACTGGGTCTCGTGCCTCTTTATGTTCAACAAAGGTCATAAAGGTTAAGAGGCCCTGATCTAACCCTAACAAGCAGCATCATGTAAGCCTGCAGGCCACGATGCCACAGCGTCTCAGTGGGCTTACTTCACCACTTTCATTAGGCCTCTCCAAACTCTTTCATTAGTTTTTCTGAAGCCATTCAGAGGGTGAAGGTCACAGGTGTCACAGGTGTGTACCTGAGAAGCCTGCACGATGATGGGGACCCCCAGCAGCCTCTGACCCGTCAGTCCAATGGCGAGTGGAACCGAACTGGCCTCCACAAACTCGATGTAGGCGATGCCCTTTGACCTGCGGGAGTTCCTGTCAGAGATCATCCTCACCAGTCGCACCTGCAGAGGACATGGAGTCATTTTTCTCCTCTCAGGTGTTTGAGCACAGGTCCTCCTCCTGATCTGATTGGTTGTTAGACTCTGTGGTACCTCCCCCACCGCAGAGAAGAACTCCTCCAGGTCCCGGGGTCGGATCCGGGCTGCCAGCTGCATGCAGAAGACGGTGCGAGCGTCTCGCTCCTCTGGAGTCAGGCTGTCCAGCAGCATACTGAACAACACAACAACAACACAACAACACAACAAGCATTAGAGCTGCCTGTAGGTCCTTTTGACCCAAAGGCAGCAGGAGGGTTCAAAATGTGTCGTTAGTTTCAGGAGCTGAAGGCAGTTCAGTAAGTGATTAACTGAAAGTTCGATGCAGTTTGTATCTGATACTTTCTGATCTTTGTGAGGTTACAGCAGACAAACAGCTGGTGTGTGTTTTCATGTGTACTTCTGCCTAACACAAAGGAGTTACACAAGTTCCTTCAACATGACATAAAGGTAACACCTCCAGAGGAGGAACCAGGAAGACATGGACATTATAAGCTCAGTTCATTATAGTAGAAGTATATATGTGGTGAGTATAATCATAACACTATAATACTCTGTGTTCTTAGTCAAAGTACACAGTTTAGATTTTGAACAGCTTTTCTCTAGTTTTTGTCATTTTACTGTTTTTAATATATTTAATAAAAAACATTTTTGGTAAAACTTGAGTCAGATATAACATACAAATATTTAACCATCTCCGTTACTTTTCAGTGTAAACAAACACATTAAGTGTTATATTTTTATATTTAAGAAAATATACCAAACATGTCTTTTGTACTTCACAAAATAACCTAACTACATGTTTTTATTTGTTTGACTGATTTCTTTATTAAAAGAACTATTTCTGTCAAAAAGACATGATTTAGAGCTCATATAATCATTTAATACAGTTTATTCTTCATATTTGATGATTTATTGAATCAGAGCAGTTCAGTCAGTCTGGTTATAAATATAAACTAACTTTAATGTGAAGATATTTGTAGATATTTACGATAAACAGGGAGGTGGTAACTTTAATGGGGCTCTTCTGTTAGAGTTCATATTGTTTCATTAGAAGAGCAGAAACAGAGTTGTTGCTCCTCACTGCTGGAACAGGACTGTGGAGGGCAGCAGTGTGGTCACAGTGAACACACAAACTTATAATCTGTCAGATTATAGATACAAACGTCTGGTAGCTCAGAGACAAGTGTGGAGGACCAGCTTTGTTCAGTCAGGACAGGAGCTGCAGACTGCTGCTCCGACATCACAAAGCTCCGCCCTGCTCTGCTCTGATTGGATAAAGCTGTGGGGTTCGTTTGATTTGTTGAAAGCAGCGTCTGTTTAAACCTGGATCAGCCTGGGTGGGTTTAACCAGAGCACAGAAAACAAGCAGGTGCTCTGACATGGTAAAATGATGTTGTTATTATTTCAGGGTTTATTGCCCCGGCCTGGGTGAACCAGCTCCAGGTTTATTGCCCCGGCCTGGGTGAACCAGCTCCAGGTTTATTGCCCCGGCCTGGGTGAACCNGGTTTATTGCCCCGGCCTGGGTGAACCAGCTCCAGGTTTATTGCCCCGGCCTGGGTGAACCAGCTCCAGGTTTATTGCCCCGGCCTGGGTGAACCAGCTCCAGGTTTATTGCCCCGGTCTGGGAGAACCAGCCCCAGGTTTATTGCCCCGGCCTGGGTGAACCAGCTCCAGGCTTCATGTGAGGTGCACTCACTCAGTCTGGTGGTCTCTGTAGCGGCCCCCCCGCTCCCAGCTGCAGTTGCGCCAGCGCTCTCGGCTGCCACCTCTACGTCTGTCTCGACTGCGGCTGCGCATCCTGTCCGGGCTGCGGCTGTACTTCCCCTCTCGACTGCGGCCGTGCTTCTTGTCCCGACTGCGGCTGCGCTTCCTGTCTCGACTGCGACTGCGCTTCCTCCTGTCAGACAGAACTCAGCCAATCAGAAGAGAGGATACTGCAGACAGGTGGACAGACAGGTGGACACAGGTTACCTCTTGCTGTCATCATGGCTGTCAGGGCTCTGGGTCTTGGTCACCTCCTGTGGGGNGACAGGTGAGTAGACAGACAGGTGAGCAGACGGACAGGTGAGCACACGGACAGGTGAGCACACGGACAGGTGAGTAGGCAGACAGGTGAGTAGGCAGACAGGTGAGTAGACAGACAGGTGAGCACACAGACAGGTAAATACTGAAAGAAACCTGAACCTGATCCAGGACTCAGGTGTATTACCTCCTCCAAACTGAGCTGCAGGTACTCTGACAGTAACAGTGGACTCCTCCTCACCTGTCTGACTCCGCCCCCTTCCTGCAGAAACACATCAGCTGATTAACAACATCATAAATAAAAATAAACAACAACAGGTGCAGGAGGAGACTCACCTGACTACCAGAGTCCACCAGGACAAAACCAGGACCTGGAACCTGAAGACCAGGATCAGAGTCTGAGTCTGGACCAGGATCAGAGTCTGGACTTGAGTCAGAGCCCGGTTCAGGGTCCTTCTGGTCCAACCTGAATGTTGACAGTTCCCATCATGCTTTGCTCTCAGCACAAGCACCTGACACACAGGTGAGTCTACCTGCAGCTCGTCTTTGTCTCAGGCGTCACTTCTGACTCCGCCCTCAGCCTCTCTGTGTGACCACAGGCTCCGCCCACTGGCCCCACCTCCCTCCTCACATCCTCCATCCTCACTGGCTGAGTCAGGGAGAGAAGGGTTTGACTGACAGCTTCTTCATCCAATCCCTGAGCAGAGAGAGCCGCCGTCGCCCACCTGAGTAGCTCCTCATACCTGTGAGTTGTCAACATAAGGTCATCCCAGCAGACAGGAAGTGATGTCATCGTGTGAGTAAACAGAAAGTGCCCTCACTGACCTGGACTGAGACAGGAGAGGAAGAACCAAGCCTTCATGTTCTGTAAGAGACACGGACCACGTGGCAGCACTGACTGGAGCAGACTGATGATGTCATCAATGTGTGCAGGTGTAAACTCACCCTCCCATTTGTCACAGATGCTGTGGTCAGGTCTGGCTCTGGACAGAACGCCTTTTCCAAAATAACCCTGAAACAACAAACTCTGCTCAGCCTGGAAGACAGAACTCAGGGTGATAAAACCCAAACCCCACTCCTCAGCCGCAGGGAGGAAGTCTAACTTTACGTTCATTTTCCTCTAAGTCAGGGTTTGTTTATGCCTCAGCTCAAAAAATGCTTCAAAATGTTTTTAGGATTAAATTCAGACAGTTCATTTAAATGAGTCATTGATAAAACTTTAATTCATTATGTTTTGACTAAATGCATTTTCTGAAGATGTTTAAATGAAAACTGTCTTTCAGCCTGTTTCTAAACTTTTACATTTAATCCTTGTTTCCATGTGACGGCTCACATGTTCAGTAAGAAATAAGAATTCTTTCAGTAATTCCTTACATAACTGATTAAATTGAGATTTTGTTGGGTTAAAGCCAGTGGTGCCTGCAGGATTTTTTTTCACGGGGGGCCATGGNCACACACACACACACACACACACACACACACACACACACACACACACAGGGTTTAGACTCTTTCAAACTGTTTCTAATGAACCTGATTTTGTCTGAAAATATGGAAACTATCAAGACAAACCAACACCTCACTGAGACCGCACACAAGTCAGGACCTGGACCTGGACCTGGACCAGGACTGAAGTGATTTAGAACACTCTAACACCTGATGAATCAAATATCTGTGGCGGGGAAAGAACCGAGTCAGTGGCCGGTCATGTTCTGGTTCTGGTCCTGTTAGTGTTTTGGGGTTTGCTGGGTTCTGGACTCCGGTCTGAAGTTGGACCCGGAGCTGATTTCTGCTTTTGGGAACAAGGTCTTAGCTAGAAAACAAGGTGTCCTGGCTGGATGCCTGCAGGATTAAAACACGCAGGGCTGCTCAGAGGTGGCTAACTGCTAGCGGCTAACTGCTAGCGGCTAACAGCTAGCAGCTAACAGCTAGCAGGCCTCTCCGCCGTGTAACGGAACAATCCGGGGCTGAGCCGTTAAACGGCGGCAGTCTCTGAGGCAAAGTCCGGTCTCACCTGGATCCACCGTGTTTCTACGGGCTGAACCCTGCAGACCGGGTCTCTGTATCCGGTTCACGGAGTGTCTCCGGCCTGGATGAATGAAGCGGATCTGAACTGTAGCTGAGCTGCTGCAGACGAGAGCAGACACAAACTATCGCGAGATTTTGTAAACGCGAGATCAAAACAACATTGAAATCCTGTTATTTACTAGATATGTGATAGATAGATAGATAGATAGATGATAGATAGATAGATAGATAGA